GGCCTCCCCCTCATTAACAGAGAGATCAGCTTCCCCCACGGCTCTGTGGAGGCCACCCCCCCAAAACTGAAACCCCGACGCCGCCTCACCGCCAAGGATACAGGTCAGGCCACAACAACACCACACAAAGAGACACACACAATCAGCTCTGTGTGCACATTCTCAGGAGTAGCTCTGATGCTTGTCCAATCAGGAACCCCGGAGGCCTGGCGGGTGATGATGTCACTGAAGTCTGGCCTATTAGCAGAGAGCACCTGGGCTCTGGACACCATCAACATCCTGCTGTATGATGACAGCACAGTGGGCTCCTTCAGCCTCACACAGGTCAGACACTCACAGTCCTCTCACACTCAGGCTATAGGTGAGGTGAGGCTATAGCTGCTTGTAGCCTGAGGACTTTGGATCAGTGTGGCCCTGGTTCTCAACAGATGGATGTACAGCAGCGCTGATCAGAGCAGCAACAAATATTCAAATTGTTGGGGCTTTTTTTAAACATGTATTTGTATCACAGTCCTCTAAAGATCCATATGAATAAGCAAAGCAAATAATATAATGACAGAGTCACTACTGTTGTGGTTGTTTTCAGGGACAGTTGGTCAACACCACACAAGGCTGGGGTCTTTGCCAGAGTGACAATGAACAGATACTGTTTTCTCCACACGCCTTGAACCTTTCCAGTTTTATAGCAGATGCACCATCCTTCCAGCGTCCTTGTTACCATACTTTGTCTCTAATTTGAGCCCTCCTCCTTGATGTCGAGTAAAATCAGGGGAGGATCTCACACAAAGTGGCTGTATCAGGTCTTTGTTGACTGTGTAGTTATGTGTTATGTAGTGTGTTGTGTTGAGCACATCACAGTCGCAAGAAAAACTAATGGCACTGTTTGCATTTCCTGGTTTTCTACATAAATCGGTCATGAACTGTGCTCTGATCTTCACCAAAGTCACAAACATCAACAAACACAACATTTCCAAGCTGATAAAACAACCAGTCCTGATCCTTCATGTCTTTATTGAACACATTAAACATACACAGTGATGTGGACAAAGTCACAGCAGCAGTGCAACACCCCCCAGCCAGCGCTTCCTGTAGCTGTGGATCAGACCTGCACCACGTTCAGGAGGCGTTTTGGACCGTACTTGTTTCAGCTCAGCCATATTCTCAGGACGTCTGGTGTGAATGTCTTCAGGTCGTTCCACAGTGTCTCTATTTGTCTGAGCTCTGCCGACAGCCACCCTGACCTTATCCTGTTATTGGTCTGAGCTCTGCTGACAGCCACCCTGACCTTAACCTGTAGGACACCTGGATAAACTGGGGAGTGCATTTTCCCTCCACAGGGGCAAGAGGTCCCGATCCAGAGGCCGGGTGCCTCCACCCTACTTCACTGCTGGGATGATGTTTTCATGTTGGTACAAGGTTCTCTTTTTTATGCCACACATAGTGCTGTGTGTTCTTCCCAAACATATCTGTCTTGGTTTCATCTGTCCACTGGACATTTTCCCAGTAGTGCTGTGGAGGTCAGGGTGGTCTTTGGCAAACTTCAGGCTGCTACAGTGTTGTTTTTGGAGAGCAGTGGCTTTCTCCCGGGCGGCCCTGCCTGGGTATGTTTTGTATATGGCTAACTCATGAACGGAGATGTTAACCAGCTCTCTAACTCATGAACAGAGATGTTAACCAGCTCCAGTGAATCCTTAAACTCTAGGGCTGTTGTTTGCTGACATATCAGCCATACTACGTACTGGCAGTGTGTCAGATGATATTTGTGTTCCCCTCCTTTCCCTCTAGTGTAGCTGGGCACTTTTTGAATCTGTTGAGCTCAGCAGGGGCACAGGGCTGCAGAGCCAGCTCTCACTCACAGTGACTGGCAGCTGTCACTGGTCCAGCCTTTTGAATCTATGTGTGAGATCGCAGCATTATCGTTGCCGGTTGTGTTTGAATTTGTCGAGCTGGGGTGTGTGCACCAGACACTGCATCATGCCTTTGTTGTTCCTCAGTCTTTTCTCCAAGCAAGTTTCCATTTACCCTTTGTTGTCTTTTCTCCAAGCAAGTTTCCATTTAATTGTTTGTGTTAATTATAATGAGCAGTCAGTCCTAACAGTTGAGTGAAGATGGTTGCTAGGGTGTTGATGTGTTTCCTCATATCCTCCTCCTCCTGCAGCTGCCTGGCTTCCTGGAGCTCATCGTGGAGTATTACCGCCGCTGCCTCATCCAGATCTTCGGCATCCTGGAGGAGTACGAGGTGGGATCCAAGTGCCAGAGGACCCTGCTGGCCCCCCTGCCTGCTGCCCCTGAGGAGGAGGTGCTGAAGGAGCTGCCAGCTGCCACCTCTAAGCCTAACAGGCAATCACCAGAGGAGCAGAGGATTCCATCCGTAGAGGAGGAGGAGGAGACGTTACCACTACTCACAGCTGCTCCCATCAACGCTGAGGAGGAGATGAAAGATGGTGAACCTGTGTTCAAAGAGGAGGCGGAGGTGAAGGAGGAACTGCAGGGACAGGAAGAATCCCGGCTCCGACAGGCAAGCAAGTATGACAAGCTGCCAATCAGGGTGGAGGAGAGTGGGAATGAGTGGCAGGAGGTGGAGGATTGCTGGGCCCAGCTCAGCCGACCCAATGGCTTCATCAGTGGCCTCCTGCACTGGATGGCCGGAGGAGGAGACTCCACTGCTCACATCCAGACGCACTTTGAACCCTGCGCTGGAGACTACACCCCCCCAAACCCAGTGGAGAAGGAGGAAAGGGGGCGAGGAGACAAGGGGAGGAGCCAGGAGAGGGAGGGAGTACATGACAACAGGAAGGAGGTGGAGGGAGGCCTGGAGAAGATCCTGCCAGCCAGAGAGGAAACGTCACTGGAAACCCAACAAGGTAAAGAGGAGGAGGAGGAGGAGGAGGAGGAGAAGTGCTCTGGTTGTTGCTTGGTCACTGTGTCCACCCAGCCCTCACATGGAGAGAGACAGCTGCCATTCTGAATATTTCATGAGACCTACACAATGCTCCCTTGAATATACCTGCAGCCTCCACACACACTCACACCCACGCTTTCCATGTTATCTTGTGCCACAGAGCAGAATTTGGACAAAAACTTAGCACACGGCAGGTGGTTGTTCTTTCGCATATGTGTATATGCATCGGTGTTTGTTTGTATATGTGTTAATATGTGTTTGTGTGTGTGTCTAACCCCTGTGCATCAGTCCCAGCAGGAGAAGATGGACAGCATAGAGGGCAACGTCAACACAGCTGTTGTTAGATTGATGAAACACGTGAACTGACAGTGTACCTGTAATTGTACTGTCTTGGTTCTTCACTTCTCCTCCCAAACTAAAACCTGTTGGTCACAGTCTGTATGTCCTGGTTAAAATGAGCGAACTAAGTCGTCACTAGACACAGTGACGGTGTAAAACAAGTTTAGGTTTTTCATTTGTTGGCTTGCAGCTTTTCTGTGCTTACAGTCTTGAACTCTGACTCTGTTCTGTTCTGCTGCCAGGGCTCAGAGCTCAGAGGTCACCGGCTCACGGCGAGGCAGCTCAGAGTCCCATCAGCCAGCTGGAGGATGAGCCCCGCTGCTGGGATGAGGCTCCACTGTCTACGGCTGAGTCCTGGCAAGACGTTCTGGCCAAACGCTGCATCTGCATCTCTAACATCGTGCGCGGCCTCTCCTTTGTCCCCGGAAACGATGCCGACATGTCGCGCCACCCTGGCCTTGTGCTGATCCTGGGGCGTCTCGTGCTGCTGCACCACCACCACGCCCGCAGGAAACGGACGCCACCCACCTACCAGCGGGAGGAGGAGCAGGGTCTGGCCTGCAGCCGGGACGAGTGGTGGTGGGACTGCCTGGCGGCGCTCAGGGAGAACACGCTGGTGACGCTGGCCAACATCTCAGGCCAGCTGGACCTGTCGCTGTACCCAGAGAGCATCTGCCTGCCCATCCTGGATGGGCTGCTGCACTGGATGGTGTGCCCATCCGCCGAGGCACAGGACCCGTTCTCCTCGGCGGGCGGCTACCCCTCAGAGACTGGTGCTGGAGTGTCTGTGCAAGCTGAGCATCCAGGACTGCAACGTGGACCTGCTGCTTGCCACACCGCCCTTCAGCCGCCAGCAGAAGCTCTTCACCACGCTGGTGCGCCTCATCGGTGAGAGGAAGAGCCAGGTGTGTTGTGAGATGGCGGTGGCCGTCCTGTCCAACCTGGCGCAGGGTGACTCCACAGCAGCAAGGGCCATCGCCCTGCAGAAGGGCAGCGTGGGAACTCTTATCAGCTTCCTGGAGGACAGCGTGGCCATGGCTCAGTACCAGCAGAGTTCACACAGCCTGCTGCATGCCACTGCGTCGTCAGAGCCGCCCAGCATCAACATGATGTGCCGTGCTGCCAAGGCACTGCTGGCCATGGCGAGGGTGGAGGAAAACCGGACGGAGTTTGTTCTGTACGAGAGCCGGCTGCTGGACATCTCACTGTCGGCCGCACTTAGCTCATCAGTGGCAGCCATCATGTGTGAGGTACTGTTTAAACTCGGCCGCTCGTGACATGAACGCTGCCACAGAGCGCGCTCAGCGGCGCTGGA